GGATCCCAGGCGCACACCGATGCACCGCTTCTCCGGCCATGCTGAGGCCGTGTCCCACATACAGCAACTAGAAGGATGTGCAACTATGACATATAACTATCTACTGGGGCTTTGGGGAAAAGAAAGGAGGAGGATTGGCAATAGATGTTAGCTCAGAGCCGGTCTTCTTCAGCAAAACAAAGAGGAGGATTAGCATGGATGTTAGCTCAGGGCTGATCTTCCTCACACACAAAAAAAATTACATAACAAAAATTTTTTTTAGGGGCTGGCCCCGTGGCGTAGCAGTTAAGTGCTCGCGCTCTGCTGCTGGCGGCCAGGGTTCGGATCCTGGGCGTGGGCCGACGCACCACTTGTCAGGGCATACTATGGCCACGTCCCACATAAAGTAGAGGAAGATAGGCATGGATGTTAGCTCAGGGCCAGTCTTCCTCAGCAAAAACAGCAGGATTGTCGTGGATGTTAGCTCAGGGCTGATCTTCCTCAAAAAAAAAAAAAAATTTTTTTTAAGTGTGTGTATTACCTAAGTCATCTTACATACCACTAGTGGTATATGTTGAGAACCCTGGGGTACTGAATGAAGGTCAAATTCTAAAACTGGCATTCAAAGCCCTCCCTGATCTGATCCCAGTCTAATTTCCAGCCTTAATTTCCACAGGTAGCCCACACACATAGAGTGCTCCAGGCACAGGTCCACTCAATATTTCCAGACACACTGCGTTTTCACTCTTCCCTTAGCATTTTGCTTTATTCTCTAAGGACTTCTCAAGCTTTAAGGCCCAGGTCAATTATCAGTAACCGTGTGAAATCTCTGATCCTTCCAGACAGAATCAATCAGCTTTCTTTTCTTCCTTCCTTCCTTCCTTCCTTCCTCCCTCCCTCCCTCCCTCCCTCCCTTCCTCCCTCCCTCCCTCCTTCCTTCCTTCCTTCCTTCCTTTCTCTCCATTTCGGAAGAATGGTTTCTTCCTCTATGTTTCTAGCTACTTATACTGTGATGTGAGACTTAATATCATTTTGCCTTCTAGTCTTTTACTTGATAACTTTCCCCGCTATAACATTCAGAGGTGTATCATGCAGAGTCCTTGGAGGAAACAGATTGCACATGCCCCATTTCACACTCAAATGGGGGAATTGAGGAGAATATAGTGAGAGGGCTATTCATAAAGGTGTGGACAGGGTGAAGGAGTATCTGCAAGAGTGATGAAGCATTCTGAGTCTGGTATCAGTGGGGAGCCACTAGAACTGGTAACCCCTAGGCCTAAAGAGGCAAGGGAAGGAAGGGTTACAAGAACACAGAGAGAGCTGTGACTGTAGCCGTAGTTGAAGGAGAGGGCCACCAACAGGGCCTGTGGCCTCTGATAGCCACATGAGTGAGTCCAGGAGAGAAACAGAAGTACTGCCAATTCAGCCCACAGAATCATGAGAAATAATACATTGTTGTTGTTTTAAACCACCCAGTTTTGATACAGTTTGTTATGCAACAATAGATAACTGATACATCAGCAGGGAGGTGAACCGGTAACTGTTTCACCACCAAAGCTGTGGAAAACCAAGAAGCCCTGAATGCAATGGAACTCATAATCTTGATGCAAACGTAGTAAAAATGTTTTCGCTTTTCAGTAAAATACTTAAAACAGTTTTCTGGGAGCATTTCATCTTTGTCTCAGTTGTTTGAGACATAGCAATATATGATGCTGTCACTAGAAATTTTATTCCAAGCCCATTTACCTAACATTAGGATAGTTTGTTTCCTTTATTTGATCCTCTATAGGTGATCTTCGTATATCTGGGATCTTTACAAAGTAACTGTTTATGCATTACTTTTGTGTGTGTGTGTGAGGAAGACCAGCCCTGAGCTAACATCGGATGCCAATCCTCCTCTTTTTTGCTGAGGAAGAGTGGCCCTGGGCTAACATCTGTGCCCATCTTCCTCTATCCCTCCATCTAATCTTCTGCGAATGCGCCCCTTTGGCTGAACCCCACTGGGATCCAGAGGGCAAGGTCTGCCTCCTGGACACAAATCTGGGTGGAAAAGAGTAGAGAGTTAATCTGGAAAGACAAACGGCATAAAAGGCATATCTTATTTATCTTTATATCCCTAGTGTGCAACACATAGTAAGAGTGCCTAGCACAAAGTAGAAGATGAATAAATTTTGATTGGATTTAATTTAATACAGTTCTTTGTTCTATCTTGCAGTGCTTTAAGACATAATCTGGAATCACCACCAACCTTTCTCAGGCCCAAAAATCCAACATAAAATTGCTAGTCTGCAAGGAATTTCCTTTACCCAGTAGAAAAGGTATTTGGGTCCCTTTCTGAGGCCAGATTAAGAAGTGGCTCTTTGAAACAACTTTTGTAGATCTGGACATTTTGTGTGTGTGTGTGTGTGTGTGTGTGTGTGTGTGAGAGCAAGATTAGCCATTGCCAATCTTCCTCTTTTTGCTTGAGGAAGATTGTCTCTGAGCTAACATCTGTGCCAATGTTCCTCTATCTTTTGTATGTGGGTTGCTGCCACAGCATGGCTTGATGAGTGGCATAGGTCTGGGCCTGGGATCCAAACCCACCAACCCCAGGCTGCCAAAGCAGAGCACATGAACTTAATCGCTACTCACTGGGTGGGCTGCACATCTGGACTTTTTAAAGCATTAGGTGGTTCTATAGTTTTACAAAGCCTGTTCTCCAGGACAATGTAACTCCTACATGCCCACTTCATCAGGACCTTCCAGAAGAAATAACTTCTGTGTGCTACCTGTATGACTAAGTCTTTTTCCATATCTATAAGATAAGGGTGATAATGACTACCCATCATTCAAGTCTCAGGCACAAATGTCACCTCCTCAGGCTTTCTAGGATATCACACAAAAAAAGAGGAGTACCACATCCCAAGTTAAGCTCTAGCCCATGAAGATTTTGTGTTTCTTTTTCCCCATTGCAGTTATTACTTTTTAAATGTAACTTATTTATTGTTTACTTGTAGATTGTTGGTCTTCTCTCAAAAGAATACTTGCTTTTTGTGGGCAAAGACCTTGTCTGTGTTGTTTGCTGCTCTATTCCCAGCACCTAGAAGGGTACCTGGAACATGACGGTTGTTTGAAAAATATTTGGGGGCCAGCCCCGTGGCTTAGCGGTTAAGTGCGCGTGCTCCGCTACTGGCCGCCCGGGTTCAGATCCCGGGCTCGCACCGAGGCACCGCTTCTCCGGCCATGCTGAGGCCATGTCCCACATACAGCAACTAGAAGGACGTGCAACTATGACATACAACTATCTACTGAGGCTTTGGGGGTGGGGGGGAAGGAGGAGGATTGGCAATAGATGTTAGCTCAGAGCCGGTCTTCCTCAGCGAAAAGAGGAGGATTAGCATGGATGTTAGCTCAGGGCTGATCTTCCTCACAAAAAAAAAAAAAGAAAAATATTTGTTGATGAATGAATGAATAATACCAATCATCAACCTTAGGGCTGGTGTGAATATTAGACGAGATAACAATGACACGCACCTGGCACATAGTAGAACTATATAAATCTAGGTGTTTTCTTTCCTCCTTTTCCCTCCCTCACCTCCTATAGCCAATCCTTCAGCAGGTCAGATTGACCTCAGCATCAAAACATATCCTGAATTCTCTACTTCGTTCATTGCTAACGCTCTAGTCAAGCCACTCTCACCTCTCACTTGGACTACAAGTAACAGTCTCCTAGCTGATCTCCCTGCTTCCCCTCTTGCTTCTGTTCCCCTCAAACCCCAATCCATTCTCCACAGCCAGGGAGATCTTTTGGAAACACAATTCAGATCACATCATGCCCCAACTTAAACATCGTCAACAGCTTTCTAGGTACTTAGAATTAGCCCAAACTCCTTTACATGGCCTGGTCCCTGCCATCTTCTCAGACTTCATCTGTTTTAGGCTAATTGGCCTTTCTCTCTCTCTCTCCTGGAATTTAACAAATTTATTTCCATCTTAGCGCCATAGCATTCATGGATTCTTCTGCCGAAATCTTCTAGCTAGCTGGCTCCTTATTGTCCTTTGGACCTTGGTTTAAATGGGGCTTCCTTTGGGAGAAAGTACCGTTAATCTAAAGTGGTTATTTCTTTTTTTTTTTTAATTTTATTTATTTATTTATTTTCCCCCCAAAGCCCCAGAAGATAGTTGTATGTCAGGCTGCACATCCTTCTAGTTGCTGTATGTGAGACACAGTCTCAGCATGGCCCCAGAAGCTGTGCGGCGGTCCGCGCCCGGGGTTGGAACCCAGGCCGCCGCCAGCAGCGGAGAGCGCGCACTTAAACGCTAAGCCACGGGGCCAGACCTAAAGTGGTTATTTCTTATCACACCGCCTTTTCTAGCACTTAATATTAGCTAGTATTTCCTTGTTTATATGTTTGTCTCTTCCCAACTAGGTTTTAAGTTTCGTGAGCACAGAGACCTTGTCTGTCATGTTCATCGCTCTATCCCCAAAGCTAGAGCAACGCCTGGAACATACAGTATATGCTTAATAAATATTTGTTGAATAAATGACTGCATTGATTATGATGATGATGACAACGAAACCTCAGACGACATGGCCACAAATTCTAACAATTTTCCCAAAAATAAGAATTGCAGTTCCGAAACTGGATCCCGGAAGACTGTGGAAACCTGACAATAAAAGATCTGAGGCTGAAGGCTGGGGCAAGCAAAGGGAATATGCTGGAACTTTGGCCTCTTTTTTCCTATCCAAGGACCCCAGAGACCTTGCAAAACGGAGGCCTAGAATCAGAAATTCCAGCCCAGCCAGTACGGGTATTTTCCATCCAGATTGTTCGCAGCCACTTTTGCTAGGTTGCAAATGCGCAAACACCTCTAGGACCCCAGGTTCCTTTCTGTTTCTTTATGAATGAACCGGCTCTAGTCTACGCATGCGCAGCTCCTGGTTCTCCCGCTCCACGTGAGGCCCACCCTTCCCTCCTGCTGCCGGCCCCGCCCTTACCCTTTCTCATGGACCAATGGCGAGCGGCCTGGGGGGCGGAGCCCGGAGCGGCGCGGCACTGTAGTTCCCCCGGCGCCGGGCTCCCTCGCGTTAGTCTTGCTGTGTTGTGATCACGTGGCCAGCTCCGGGCGCGGCGCTTGTTTTGGTTTCCCTCTAGCTTGCCCCTGGCAGCTTAGGGGTTAGCGACTTTCCTGTGCCGGTTTGCGCGCCTGCATACACTCTGACCTCCTCTTCTTAGGGCTTTCTCAGCCCGCAGTTCTGTAAGCCCCTCGGGGCCGGCTCCTGCCATGCCGCTAGTTCGTTACAGGAAGGTGGTCATCCTCGGATACCGCTCTGTAGGTGAGTCTCCGCCTTGGGGAGAGCACGGACGCACCGCGGCTTTGTGGCCAGAGGAGGCGCGCTGCCGCGGGAACGTGACCCAGGGAGGAATGGAGGCATCGTTAGAACGGGGGTGTAGAGCGAGGGTTGAGAGGATGGAGGAGGAAAGGCTGGGGTGGTGGTAGTGTGTGGAGAGCTGCAGGAAGCCGGAGCATGTAAGGGTTAATGTGGGCTTGGCTGCAGGAACATCAGAGTGGTCCCCAGAGTTACTCTGGGGGGTGGGGATGGGATCAGGATTTGATGATGGGGGCGCGGTCTGTGTGCGTGTCTGGGTGAGGGGGCAGACTTGATCCTAGGGAATTCCGGATCTTCCCGGGGTGGGTGGGGTGGGGAAAGGCGGCAGGAAAGCTTTCCTGCGGCGCTATTGAATGCATCCGGTGGCCAAGGTGCACAGACCCAGGGCGAAAAGAGGGTGAGGGAGGCTAAGGGAAAGCATTGCATGGGGCACTCACAGGCTAGGGTGCTAATTTGGGGTCCTCTTTAGTCCTGGGCCACAGCCCGAAAGGACAGAGGTTGTGAATGTGGATGGTTGATTTGGATACAACTACCACTGCTTCCCACAGGGAAGACATCTTTGGCACATCAGTTTGTGGAGGGCGAGTTCCTGGAAGGCTATGATCCTACAGTGGAGAATAGTGAGTAGAATTCTTCCCTAGGGGTGGGGCAAGGAGGGCTTGGGTGCCCCACTCAACTCCATAAATTCGGGATTTTCTTGGTGCCAAGGGGTTGATTTAATTAGACATTAAATCGAATCTCTTCTCTAGCAGTCCTGTTCTATGAGTGGAGCTAGAATGTGGACTTTGCAAGATACTGAGTCCAGGATGGTGTAGATGTAGACAATAAGAACCCTAACATTGTCTCTCCAATTTCCTGGAGAGCTGTCTGGACCTGGTCCATCTGTGTCACCCCCAGGGTTAAGAAAGTATGGGGCACACATCACTAGCCCTACAAGGCACCTCAGTTAAGTTTTCTTTTCTTTTCAGCTTACAGCAAGATACTGACTCTTGGCAAAGATGAGTTTCACCTACATCTGGTGGACACAGCAGGGCAGGTACCAGTTTGGGGTAGGGTATCTAAATGTGGCAGTTCAGTCCTGGGAGATGAAGTCTGGTAGCCTCTGTGGCTTATCTGTAAAGTAATATTAAAAGAAAAGCATTTTAGCAGCTAGTAGTGTGCAGTGCTCATTGGAACTACTCTATAAATACTTGTGGAATAGAAGTGACTGGAGTAGGGAGTGCCCCAGGGAGGGTCCCCAGGATGCAGCCCACCACCCTTTGCTATTTGAGTGTTGTGGATCTCAGTATTGATATTTCTATTTCTTGTCAGGATGAGTACAGCATTCTGCCCTATTCACTCATCATTGGGGTCCATGGTTATGTGCTTGTATATTCTGTCACCTCTCTGCATAGGTAAGTGAGTTGTGAGTGGAGACTTGGGAGGATCTGAGGGCTGTGCCAGAATAAGGTTATAGCTCCATATCTTGTGTCTAAAGCTTCCAAGTCATTGAGAGTCTGTACCAAAAGCTACATGAAGGCCATGGGAAAACCCGGTAAGTGGCCCTGGGGGACAGAGACATAGTGTGGACATGAGGGGATGGGAGAGGGCAGAGGGGAGTATTGGTCCAAGTTAGGGAGGAGGCCGAGACATAGATCCTGTCTGGTCTGATGGAGAGTTGTCCAGCTGTGATAATGAAGGAGGTTGGGGTCCATGGGGAATGGGAGGGGATCCTATAGTAACTGCTGTTTCCTCACAGGGTTCCAGTAGTGCTAGTGGGGAACAAGGCAGATCTCTCTCCAAACAGGTATGGAAATCTCTGCAGCTCAAGGTGAAGGAAAGTGAGCTGGACTAGGAATCAGTCAGGCTCTAGTCCTGGCTCTGCCACTGGCTTGAACAAGTTCACTGCACCTCTTTTCATTTCTAACTTGAAGGTCATGACAAGATAACCCTTCTATTGCAAAAGCTATAATTTCATATTTTAAGCCTCAGTCCTAGGCTCCTTTGTTTTCCTGTATTTTCTCCTTCCCCAACCCTCCTCCCAAACCTTGGAAGTGAGATGGGTCAGAGGAAGTCTAGATTCTATAAAGATTTTGAAGAGAACATGGGGACACTGCTATCCTCCATCTTCATGTCCCAAATTTGCTTCTAGGGAGGTCAAGGCAGTTGATGGGAAGAAGCTGGCAGAGTCCTGGGGTGCGACATTTATGGAGTCATCTGCCCGAGAGAATCAGGTGCTGGGCCTGAAGATTAAGAGGGTGGTCGGGGTAGCAGTGTTTGTCTTATGGCACTGCTTGGTGGTAGGGATGGTGGGGGAGTTGGGTATTCACCTCAGAGCTGGGCGGTATTGGCAGGGAACTGACTTTTTGCCCTGAATCCCTGTCCCTTGCAGCTGACACAAGGCATCTTCACCAAAGTCATCCAGGAGATTGCCCGAGTGGAGAATTCCTATGGGCAAGAGCGCCGCTGCCGGCTCATGTGAGCCCTTGGGCATGGGGTAGCTGCCTTGACTCTGCCCCTGGCACTTGCCAGGCTCCAGTGGGGGCAGGCCCTCAGGACTTCACGGGTATGGTTGCCAGCTGTGTCCCTGGCTCTCTGGGCACACAGTGTGGTACCCTCATATTTGCACACTTTCCCCAGGCTCCAGTGGCCTGGTTGTCAATGTTTACAAAGGGGCAAGGATGTCTCATGGGCACTGGCCTCTAGCCCTCTGTTTTTGCTAAATGAGTTGTTATAATCTGCGGGGTTGGGATATGAGTCCTGGGCATTGCTTATTCAGGACCCAGTCTCCTATGTTGGTTTTGGGTATTGGCTGGGTGAGGGGAGCTGGGGACTCCTGAAGTGGAGCTGGCTCCCTGGGGTAACAATGTATATATGCAAATAAACTGAGAAATCTTTTTGTCGTTGACTTCTGTGTATTTGGGGAGAGCTCAGGGCCAATATCTCCTTTTCCAAAGAGTGATGACTATGGTCTTTGGAGGGAAATCAGGGCTAATTCTTTCCTCCTACTTCATTCCTCTTCCTTACTCCTCACTCATTCAGGACTATTACCCTGAGACTTACTACTTGTCTTTCCCACCTTTACTTTCCACTGGGTCCTCCCTATACAGGTACCAGTTGGCTGCCACTCCCATCCAAGTTTGTAGGCTCTCAAGATCCCCTTAACTACAGAAACACCACCCTCTAGTGGCCAGCTGCCACATGCTGACCTCGCTTCCCTCCTGGGGCCTTGGAATTTGCTGGAACTCAGAGAGAGTAGGGTTTGGGGAGGAGGAAGGGAGCCCCTCATTCCTAATAATGTAAAAATGGTGAAGGAGTGTAGACGTGGGGACTAAAGTGTTGTGAAGATTTTGGCTTTCTAAGAGAGTTGAGTAGTGTAAGAAATAATGCCCCTGGTGTGTATCAATCCCCCCACCCCTCCATGTACCCCGTGCCTTTCATTAACATGGATGTTCTTTGCTCTTTTCATACCTTTGGTGACCTTTTCATATCTTTCACACCTTTGGAGTCAGGCTACTTTTTAGGTGTCAAAGGCTATTGCCTCTGCCCTTTCTTATTGACCCACCACCTCAGTAGGAGGACAGATATTCTACCTAGGAGGGTTTGGTCCTATCTGCTGCTACTTTTCCTGCCCCCTCCCCAGCTCTAGGGCCAAACTGGCCTAATACCTCCTCCAAGGACTTACAAGGGTTACCTGAATGGTATTCTTCACAGGGAGGGCATAGACTTCTGCCAACCAGGCACCCTGTCAATGTACTTAGTTGGGGAGCATGGACAAAATGTGGTGTGATTTTTAGCTGTGATCTTGTTAATGCCTGGCTCCAGGCTAGTGGGGCTCACAGTTGGAGATGATGGTTTGTCATATTGGTTTTCAAAAGTCCTGCCACCTGCTTTTGCATCTCTGATTCAGAATCTAAAAAGAAATAAGGGCTGCTGGAAGGAGCATACTCCAAAGAGCAATCTTAGTGGTTTAGGAGTCTCTTTAGGGTTGTCACTGCTCTCTCTCCTTGTATTAAAATTAGGTCCTTTTGCACATCTGACCTGGAATACTCATTACAGGGACCTACCTTCCTGCTGCCATTTTCATGAGGTCTGGGATAGACTTACAAATGTCTGAGGTTTTCTAGAAGCGTATCGAGCAATTTGAAAGCCTGATAGCAGTAAAGAATAGTGGTTAATGGCTGGGTTGGAATAGTAATTCTTCCACTTAGCTGTGTGACCTTGGGCAGTCAGTTAACCTCTCTGTGCCTCAGTTTCTCATTTTGAAGTGTAGTTAAACCTTCTTCACATGGTTGAGGTGAAAATTAAATTGAGGTGATATATGAAATGCTTAGTACAGTCCCTCATATATAATAAACCCTTAAGAAATGGTGGTTATCATCTTATTGGAGGTTTTTCTAGTGAGGGTCTGCCTCCCTGCCTCTGGATATAGAGAGCAGGGAGGGGCCTTCCATTTTCCAACATCTGTCTCTTGGTTAATTCATTCCACTATAGCTAGGACAGGTGTGGGGTCACTGCTGGATTTTTTTGCTGAAATAGACCTGAACTGTCAGTGCAGGGCACATGATGTCAGTGTGTGGCTAGCACAGGACACATCTAGTCCCAATCCCTCCTATGACCCTGGCCAGTAGGGATTTAGGTCTCCTGCACTGTCCAATATGGAAGCCACAAGTCACATTTGGCTATTTAAGTTTAATTTAGTATTAAAATTAAATAAAATAAAAAGTTCCTCAGTTGCACCACCTACATTTCAAAGTGCTCAATAGCTATATGTGGCTAAGCCATATTAGATAGTGTGGATATAGTTCATTTCCATCATGGCAGAAAGTTCTATTGGACAGCACTGTAAACCCTTTCCCACGAAACCAGCCCTGCATCTGATCTGCCTGCCTCTTTCTCCACATCTTCCTTAAATCCTAGGAAAAACATGGCCATTGGTTTGAACCATAGCTCAACTTCTCACCAGTTCCTTGGGCAATTTTACCTATTTTAGCCTCAATTTCGTCATCTGTAACACGGACATAATTCCACGTAACTCAAACCGAGGGCAAGGAATAACTAAGAATATATAAAGTATCTAGTATATAGTTAATTTGTCTCCTCCTGTTCATCCTTGGGTACAGCTAATGCAGAAAAGGCATTCCAATCCCATCTCCTCCAGACTTGGGTGCGTGTGTGTGGGAGCGGGGGGTGCCTGCAAGCAGTGTTTTGGGATCTTGTTTGGGTAACAGTACTTCGGCCAGGTACCAGTGCATCCCCTCTGTTTACTAAAAAAGGGGAGACAGGCCCTGAAGATCCGGAGAGAAAGACTGGGGGTGGGGGTGGGAACGCCCGGGAAAGAAGGGGAAACTCTACATTTATGTTTTGATGGGGGAGGTGTGTGTGGTGATTGTGGGGGCACTGACAGTCCTCTTTGGGGTTTGAGAGCCAGAAGGAACAACCAGGGACTCGTTCCGCTTTCCTTCGGGCCCCCGAACGTGGCAAGAACCCACCCTTTGCAGCGCCAGGCGCCGTGCCTCACTTTCTCCATTTGCGGACTCCAGTTCCCAGGATGCAGAGCAGCGGCCAATCTCCTGGCTCTTCTTCCATCCCCCTCCCGGGAAAGACTGCCCCTGGCCAAGGCAAGGGGGCAGCTGGAGTTTCAGGGACCGATAACTCCCAGGGAACGGAATTAGAAAGTGGCCGGAGTCCTAGTTTCACGATCTGGGCGGTCAAGCAGGCAGTTCCAGGGCCGAGGCGAAGAAGAGGGGGGCTTCATTCCCACGTGTCTGCACAGCGGCCGGCCCGGCGCAGTCGGGGTTAACCCGCGGCGGAGGGATCCCGCAGCGTGTGCGTAGAACTGCAGAGTCACAGCCTTTCCTCCGAGAGGACCGTCTCCCTCCGCCGCTCCGCTCCAACACAAAATAGGGCCGCGTCTTCTCCTTTCTCACCTTCTCGAGTGGGGTTCCCCAGGCAAAAGGCTCCCCCGGATCTCGCGCCGGAGGCTCCGTGAATCTCCACGACCGCTGCCGAGATCTCGGGCCAGGAAATAGCCCCTTCGCAGGAACCACCCTACCGGCCGAACAGGAGGCGGAGGGGGGGAGGCGGAGCGGCGCCGCGCTGCACTACTTTCCTCTCCGGTTGCAAATGGCTGCCTCGTTCCCCACTTTCCGCTCAGTTTCCTGACCCCCCGGCGCCGGGAGCCGGGGTTGGGCCATGCACCTCTAGGCCCCCCGCGATCACAGCCAGCCGGGGGTCAAGGGGGTGCCGCCGATCAGAGCCGGCCAGGCCGGGGGCGGGGCAGCTCCCGAGGCCAGAGGGGAAGGGAGGCGAGCGCAGGGCCTGGAGCGGCCGGAGGGGAGCGGGCAGAGGGCTCGCACCGCCCGCCCCTTCCTCTTCCTCGCCCACCTACCCTCCTCCCTTCCCCGGGGGGAGCAGAAGGTGGGGGGCTCGAAGCCACCGAGGGCGAGCGCTCGGGGTCGAGGAGCCCGGCGCTGGGTGTGTGTCAGGTTCAGCCCCGCGGCCCCGCCGGCTCCGCGTCGCCGTAGGTCGCGCGGCCCCGGGGCGCCAGCCCGGGCGGGGAGAGGGGCTCGGCGCTCCTGCGAGGGTCTCACGTTCCATCCGGGCCCGGCGCGGGGCGGCGCGGCATTCCTTCCGGGCTGCTGGGGAGGCGCCTCGACGTTCCATCTGGAGAGCCTCGACGTTCCGCCCGAGCCCAGCGCGGGCGGCCGGGGCGCTGGCCCGGCCCTAGGACTGAGAGGCCGCCCGGCGACGCGGATGCGGAGCCTGCTCGCCCAAGATCAAAGCCACCGGTGCTCTCTTTGTGTCCGCTCGGGATTCGCCGCCCTGGGGCTGTCCATGGAAACCTAAACTGCTGGAACCCGAGGCAGAGAACCCCTCTTTGGCTTCTTGCTTTTTTGGGGGGGGAGGGTGGCCACTCCGACCTGGATTTACCGTTCTTGGCCCCCGTAAGCCCCCCCGTGCGGGGGGCGGCTGTGATCGCTCTGGCGGTTGGAGGTCGGGGAGCGGCCCGGGCTCTGGCCATGTTCTCGGATGAGGATTTCTGGATCGCCCTGTGAAGAGGTGAGTGAAGTCCGCCCGGCCGGGGCCCAGAAAGGGTTGGACTGGGGGCATAGCCAGATGGACTATCTTGGCCGGAGCTGGCCTTTAGGTTGGAGAAAGGGGTGCCAGAGCTGAGGAGGGTTGCTTTGGCAGGGTCTGTCAAGGCAACTTGAGCCGGTCGCCAGGGCAGAAGTGAGGCCTGGTGTCTTGGGGTGTGCCTCTTTAAAGACTAGGGGTTCATGGAACCGCAGGAGTTTGGGAACCTGGCCAGATTGCCTCTCTGCTTGTTTATTTTTGTGTTGAGGGGAGCTCTACTAAACTAGGACCCAGGCCCTGATGCCAGCACCAATCCCAGTCGGCTGCTTCTCCCTCAGGGTTCCTTGTGGGCCTTGGGAACAGAACAACTTTGGGGGTGGGGGTAGGGTGCCACTGCCGGGTCAGACTTACTGCCAGGTTGGACTTTAAGGTTGTTTTTGCCCATCCGGGCACCCAGAGCAGTCTTTGGGAGACTCAAGGAACCCTAGATCCTTCACTAGGCCTTATTTCACTGTGCAAAGGGGAGAGTGTGTGGAAACAGACTAGTGTGATGAAGGAGGTGGCTGGGGCATGGAGGAGGCGGGGCTGGGGGCAGCTCTGGCCTTGCTGTTCAACTTTAAACTACCCCTGCCTGGCAAAGTGACCCCAGCGAGGCCTAGTGCTGTCTTAGCCTGCTTTGCCTCCTCTCCTCTCGGGATGGACATAATCTCTAGGGGGATTATAGAGGAGGCTGTTGAGATTTGCTTCCCTGCGAATGTGGGCTGCAAAAAATGGCTTTTGTCTCCTGCTTTCTCTGGGCCTGGTGTGGAGACCTGGTTGCCCATAAGTCCC